AAGTTTTAAAGTAGCAATGCACAAGTACATACATTTCCAATCCACATCAAGCGTCCGCCTCACAGTCTTTTTTTCTCTATTAAACCCCTCCCATTCACATTTCGCAACTCTCCGATCGGTCCTCCCATTAATCGCGCAAGATAAGATACAAATTTTTAAGCTGTCGAGCCTCCCAGCGAACGGAGTTTCGCGAGGATGTATCCTGCTTTGACGGATCGGGGTGGGTGAAGGCCGGGACGTGTTCGCCGTAGTTATCGGCCTGGCCAAAAAAGGAAAGAATCTCCTCAAACGTGTTGTCTTTTAGGGTCACGATGTGCTTTGCGAGGTGCATCGCCAGGGCCAAAAAGCAGCGTTTGGCGTAAAACCACGTGTCCGTCATGAGTTTGCGGTGGTAGGGCTCCAACGACTTGATAATCCGCGACACCCCGAACTCAAAATTGCCCTTGGAGCAGTACAAAGTCCCGATCACCAAATTCACAATACACAGGTGTAAAGGCTGTTTATCCGGGTCATTGTAGGTGAGGGTTTCCTCCTCGCGCTCGATGCGGCGCATGATGTCCTCTGCTTTTTCGTTCTGGGCGGTCATGATGTACGACACGCACAAATTCGCCAGGACAATCGCACTGCAGGTCAGAATCTTTTCCTGGTTGGCGGCCACCACGGGCTCGTAATAGCGAATCGCCTCGCGGAATTTGTTTTCCTGCATAAAAAACACATGCGCCACGTTCAGCTTCCACACCTCGTGCTCCGAGCAGAACTCGGCGGACTGCCGGAAGAGCTTCTCCACCATCGGGTAGTTCTCGATAGACCAATAAATATTCGCCTGGGCCATCAAAATGGGAATATACTCCTCGAGGGCGCAGTCGTACTGGCGAACGGCCAACTTCACGGCATCCTTATCATGGCGTTGTTTCGCGTCCTGGATCTTCTTCGTCATCTTCCGCAGCTGGTCCGCGTGCTTTTGCGCGAGGATGTCGAACTTTCGGTACGCCTCGGCCTGGGAGGTCTGCGCGGTGATCAGGCCGTCGAGGAAATCGTAAAGGGACTGCTGGTCGTGCGAGAGAAATTGCCACGCGAGATGCTGATTTTCCGCCAACACATCCGCCGCCAGGTCATAATACTCGTATTTGCAATAAAAAAGCAGTAAATTTTGGAAGGTTTCGGGAGGAAAGGGTGGGTTTTGGAGGAGAAAATTGAACTTTTTGAAGCCACTCGCCGGGTCATCGTTCATGTTGATGAGGGCGGTGTTGTGCAGGGTCACCGGGTCCAACTCCTCGTCCTGCCGTGGGGGCATATCCGTCAGGGCTTCCTTGGCGGCACTGAAGCTTTGCATTTGAAATTCGATCGCGGTTTTTAAATTAAAAGCCTCAATAAGAGCGGTTTCTTTGAGAAGTGGGGTGTTCCCCACCGAACGCGCCTCTACCCCTTCGGTATTACTCCCAATGTTGAGCTCCGGATGCTCCTTGACCCCTTTGTTGATGATCTCGCCGATGTGCTTGAGCGAGGACGCGTATTGCTGCATGCGGTAATGCGCGAGGGCGATATTATACATCAATTCCGGCTTATCCCCCAGGGTGTTTTGGGCTTCTTGAAATTTCTCCAGCGCCTCTTCATAACTGCCTTCCCGGCAAAGCACGCAGCCTTGAAGGACGACGGTGTCGGGGTCCTCCATCGGGGATTTCTCCAAAAACCCTTTCGTTTGCGGGGTGTCCTCCTGCTCGTAGGCGATCACGGCCTGAAGTTTCGTCATCCGCATCGCGTATTGCTCCGATTCGATCATACTACAGACCCGCGTGCTGTCTTGGTAGGCCCCGGCTTTGTACAACGCCTGCGCGTAATACACGCGGTATTCCTCGACGTTCGGGCAAACCTGCACGAGCTGCTCGTACAATTTCGCGGATTCCATGTACTCCCCCATCATATAATAGCAATACGCGATTAGCGAAAGCGCCGCGCGGCTTCGCGGGAACTCCTCGAGCTGCATGGAGAGCAGCTCCACCGCCTCGGCGTATTGGGAATCGCGAATAAAGCCGTAAACGGTCGCCGTGAAGGTCCCTTCCTGGACTTGCGTTTGAATGCGGCCGAGGGTGGTGCCGCCGCCGGAGGTCGTCGTGGGCCGCAGGGAGCCCGTCATCGGCGCACGCATCCCAGTGAGAGGTCGAACCGCGGCCATTTTTGCTTCCTTTTCCGGGATTTTTCTTTTTTGTTATTATTTTATCGTTCAATTTGCGTGTGGTTGGTGTAAATTTTCCTATATATATATATATATATAACTCACTATCTATATATATTGTGGTTCCTCTCTGTGAAGAACTGTCTCTAAACCCGTATTCACTTTGAAGTTTAAATCACCAAAAGGGAGGGGGGAGAGAGAATTAAATAAAAATAGGCGTGAAATGTATTATCCAAATTAAGTGAAAATGCATCGCTCCGGAGATGAGGAAAGATCGCGGGTTTATTCATTCGTACCAATCGCCAAAGCCAAGACATCAGATGCGGCGCTTTTGAATGGGTAGGAAAAAAAAAAAGATATACCAATTTTCCTCCCAATAACATAATAATGTACACCCTATCGATCACCCTCAGAGGTGACCTCAAGTTGTTTATGCTTTTTATTTCTATGACATCCTCCCTCCACAAATTAGATATATCCGATCTTTTCCCTTTCGACGCGCCTATGCATAGCCGTCTTGATGAAAACCAGGTACCTCCCGGTGAGATCATACCATTTTATCCACTCAATTAACATAAACGTCGTGATGAAGAGAATGTTAATCCCCACAAACGACACCACCTTTTCGGACACGATGCGGGTCGCTGGTGTTCGTTTTGTGAAGGAGTCGCCATCCTGCGGGATCGCCTCAAAGGTGTTTAGCGATAGACCGATGTAGATCATTGCCAGGGAATGGAAAAGTTCGGAAGGAATCGCGATCAGCCGTTGGATTGCCGCGGGCATGGGCTCGGTTCGGCCAAAAATGACCGTATCCTCATCGGTGACGTCCGCCAACACGGCGGGTTTGAGGTGGGTCGTGAGCTCCGTGAGCACGCGATAGGCAAAAAACACACCAATGAAAATGATTTCGTACGAAGCATCCATGACCCCAGAAGAAGAGGTGGGATTCGACGGGATTGGGTTCTGCTTGTGGGGTTCGATCGCGGCATCCGCGCGGGCCATTTTCACGGACACCCCCCACAGGACCCCTCCGAGGCCCCAGCGCAGAACCAACACCGCCAAGACCGTGTTTTTGCTTCCATAGCGCCGGCCGACGCGCGTGATCGGGGCGGCGAGGGCGTGGGGGAGGGCGAGGGCGAGGGTCTGCAAAAGCGCG